TGTTGCCTCAGAAATGTTTCCTCGGAAAGATCTTAACGCTCTAGGGTTACTACTAAAGTTTTCTAACTATTGCTTTAGTGATTGTACTTGTCCCATTCGAATATCCCTTATAACTCCAACGATGGTGCTACCTACTGCTTAATGGTAGGATAACGCTGTCTAAAAAGAAATGAGAACAAACAATCTTTTTTCGAGTAGGTAGAATCTTAAGTACTTGCTCAATAAAAAACTTTTCACACAAACACCTTTTCAAAACAAATTTTACAAAACAAACTTCGTCACATCCTAGAGGACTGATACAAGGGTTATCACGAAGTAAAACATTTTCAAGACAAACACACACAAGCAATTTGAAAAATGAGCAAGTACCTAAGAGAACATAGATAACTACGGATAGAAAGGGTGCTAACACCTTCCCTTTCTATAATCTACCCACGTACTCAGAATATCTCGAAAAAAGGTTTTTTATGTTCTTTTTCCTTTTCCAAGATTGAATGAAATAAAAGTCGGTGGCGACTCTTGCTTACCGCGACATTTTGCGAACAAAAAGCGCAAAACGCAAACCAATATTAAACAGTTGGTTCTGCCACCGTATCACACCAAGGTAGTGGCATGTGTAAAAGAAGAATCAGAGAGGTTCTATCCCTAAAATAGTGTGGAACGGCATTGTTGAAATTTCAATTGAGTATGAGACAACGAAGATGGTTGGAGTTGTTCAAAGATTATAATTTCAGTTTGAACTAGCATCCGGGTAAAGTTAATGTTGTGGCGGAAGCTTTAAGCCAAATGACTTTGCACCTATCGATAATGATGGTTAAAGGGTTGGGATTAATTGAACAGTTCAGAGATATGAGTTTAGTTTGCGAAGTGACACCGAAGGGTGTTATGTTAGGAATGTTGGAAATTATCAATGATTTTCTGGACAGTATCAAAGAAGCCCAAATGTTAAATGCGCAGGGTGTGTTGATATTCTGTGATCAAATTTGTATTCCTGATGATGCGGAGATGAGGGAAGTAATTCTTGAGTTAGAGAATGCTTAACCTTCGGGTGAGACTAGATGAGTGTAATGTGGACCGCGTAATATGCTAAGCGTTAGTGTCTCATCGACAAGATCGAATGAGAGGAAAATTATGGGGGTGTTTCTAAACCTCATTGGAAATTATTGGATTATGGTGCTTTAGGTGACTTGAGTACAAGTTCTAAAGGAACACTGTTATAGTTTGGTAACGATGGTTTATACTCCATTATGGTTGTCGGTTATCTATTGACAAATTGAGGAACTGATCACCCTTCATCTCTTGTTGATAGTAGACGAGATCGTGTTGGATGGTATACATTTGTCTTGCTATCTTAATGGTGTGTAAAGTGGTTAATGTTATATCATGAGGTAGTCGCTCACCAATTTGTGTGAAGAGTGACCAAGAAAGAGTTGAGACGTATTGAACAAGTCAGAGTAGCGAGTTATATGTGAGCTAACATCGCAAATGTGAAAGATTGAGAATATCAAGTGAACAATGGTTTTATGATGGATGTTAAAGAAAGTATGAAACTAGATTGAAACTTGTAAACCATATAGTTGACAGAAATTTTAATGAGGACGGTGACTTAAGATTGATTATCATAGTTGTGCAGCTGAAGCGTGATGTGGCGCAGTTGCTATGCGTGTATAACTCGTTAGAAGTGAAGGATTAAAACATCAGAAGCCTATGGGAATGGTGTGTCTTAATCTACATGCTTGATTTGGTGGATTTTTTATATAGAAATGTTGTGCCAATGCACTATGTTTTCTAGTAAATATTTGTGGATTTTATAAGAAGATTGTTGCGGATTGTTGGTTGATGGTGAGCTATGGGTATGCTTGCTGAGTTATATAGCTAAGTTGATGTTGTAATGATTTTGTTATCGTTATTGAGATGTTATTGTTGATTTCCGCAAGTAAGAAATGATAATCCATAACATGATGAAGTTGATTATGTTGGTTGTGTTGATGTCACTATAAGAGCGATATGACGATGTGAACAAATTTGTTGATATTTTGTTGATAATTGACATACGGGAATGAAATTATGTATGTGTTTTGATGTTTAAAGGGTTGTTAAGATGATATTATGATGATGTATATCCAAGTATAAGTGTGTTATAGTTGTTTCTACTTTAAATGTTGATATGTCAGATTATGGTGGAGTAGTTGAGATGCTAGTAACGATCATGTTGCAAAGTGTTGAATGATTAGCATACGTGTAATCGATTTGAATCATGTTGAATTATTGACTTGTCGGTAAATTAGTGGTCGAAGTGTTGCCAAATGCGACTTGGAAATCAATGAGTTAGATGCGAAATTTGCATTGAGGGTGGTAGTATCGAGTAAATTTTCGAGGACCAAAATATTCTAAGAGGGGGAGAGTTGTAACGCCCGTTAATTTAATTAATTACTTAATTAAATTAATTACTGATTAATGGTTGAAAATGTTGTTGAAATTGTTGAAGTTGCGAAATGTCGAGAAATGTTGATTTAAGTTTCTAAGTTGTTATTTAGTTGATATTTAATTGATTGGTTGATTAATATTAGAAATAATATTAATATAGATATTTTAATAATATAAGGTTTATTAGTTGGGCTCATTATTTGATTGTAGGGAGTAATAGGTGGGGTGTGAAAGTTAGGCCCAATAAGAATATTAATAATTATAAGGTTAAGGTGATTATGATGATTAGGTTAATTAGAAGGAATAAGGAAAAAGTCTTGGAGTATTTTGTGGGAACGTGCAAGTTGCAAAGTTACAGAAAAGAGGAAAATATTGGAAACTTTGGCAAGGCTAGGCTCGATCGAAGAATTATAGAGCGGTATTCAATCTAAGGTATGGGTGGGGTTCTGACTCTATAATGAGAATTATGATGAATAATATGTGGGAATTGGGTCGTGTAAAATCATTGTTGTATGTGTATATTTGTTGTTGTTGGTTGTTTCTGAAATTTATCAGATTTCTATGAATATGTTGCTTAGAATTAATTTGTGTTGATTTAATCATCATGTTGATGTGGTTCTGGAAAATTGTGTTTCTATGAAAATTGATGTTGCTGCAATGGTATAAATTATTATATTGTGAATCGAGTAATCGAAGGAAAATTTGAGTATTGGAATCAATTACAGAGAATTTTGCGTAAGAGAAAAACTGGAAACTGGAAAAACTATACGGTGTCGAGGGGAATACAGACTGTGCCGAACGGCACAGAAGGATGGTGCACCGAGAGGGACACTATTATGCCGAGGGGTAGACTAGATTATGAAGGGTGTGCTGAGTGGCACACCATGTTTCATGTGTCAGACTTAATTTTTGGTTATATTATTTTAGTGATTGTTTTAATTTGATATATATATATATATATATATATATATATATATATATATATATATATATATATATATATATATATATATATATATATATATATATATATATATATATATATATATATATATATATATATATATATATATATATATATATATATATATATATATATATATATATATATATATATATATATATATGAGGAAACCAATAATGAAACATAGAAAGCTGATTAATTAATTTAGTACAACCAGTACATGAACATATTTAACATAAAGAGAAAATAAGTTACATAACTTATATATTTAGCAGAATAGCAGAATATTCTTATATCAGTAAATTGATTAACAGAGTTAATTTAATGGAGTTGGTATATGTATATAACAGAATTGGATAGCAGTGTAGTATTAAGTTATCAGAAGACTAATAAGGAATATTAGTATAAAGTATAAATAATGGAACGTTTAGCCGATAATTAATTAGCAGGATATAGTCGATTTGTCCGAATAACTATACAGAATAATTATTGTTTATTTTAGTTGATACGGTGTGTTGAATACTTTGCTGGAAAATAAATGAACTTGCAGGTTGTATTAAATTGTTACGCTCTTGCCGACGTTGCGCTAATTGTTGTTGAAATATCAAGTTGTAGGCCCATGGACAGTGTTGAAATATTGCTAATTTGTAGGCGTATGGCCAGTGTTGAATTTTTGTTAAGTTGCTGTGAATTCTTGTTGGTAATGCAAAGTTGCAGGGAATTTTAAATGATGATGAATTACCTCTATTTACTGGTAATAATGGTGATGTGCGCTTATGCCTTGCGATGAACGATGATTGTTGTGAGTATGTGATAGTGCATTCATGAAGTCACATACATTTTCATATTTTGGGATGTCCTGTATTGGCAAACTACAAAGAAGGCTTATGCCTTGTTGATGCCTCTATTAATTGGAAATTATTAAGTTGGGAGTTCTGCTCTGTTTTAAGTTGGGTGTTCTGCTCCATTGGTACCACATGCATGTGCATTATACGAGTAGCATTTCGTGTTGCACAATTGAGTTGTTGTAATGATGAAATAATTGTTATTTCGTGTTGATGCTTTGTTGTAATAGTTGTTGTGTATAAGTTATGAAGTGGTGATTTTATATGATCTAATCTAATATATTATTTATCATACGACTTATTATATTGTCTGATATCTCACCCCTTCTATTTGAATGTTTCCCTCTGTTGGTAACGTGCAGGTAATCAAGAAGGATAGTTGTTACCTTCGTTAGTTCGAGTCATTGTCGTTGCTCTGATACGTAGCACTCCGGGGGATGAACGCTTGATGTTTAGTTGTTGATTATTATTTTAGTTGCTGAACTTTTAAGTTGATAACATGAAATAATTTTTGTCTTGAAGTTGTTTTAGTCTAACAAGAGATGTTAAGTGAATTGAAGTTGATTATGTATATTTAGCTGCTTATCAATAAAAAGTTATTTGATTATGAAGAATAAATCAGGTTGTTATCGGTTCATCCGAGTTAAGTGTTATATATCTGTTTTATATGCGAATAAATGAAGTTTGATTTTAAGTTGTAAATGTAGCATCCTATTTGTGTTGAACTCTGATTTTATTGTTATCCGCCTGGTAGAATTGGGGTGTTACAAGAAACCCCCATCTGTGTGTACAAACGGGTCTATTGAAGAAGGGGCAGTGTCATTTGTCTCAACAGGATGAGTAACCTCCATATCATCAGTAGGTGACACCTCAATAGCCGTATGTGGAGTGTGCGCCTCAGGAATAATCTTTGGAGTAACCTCTATAGTAGTTGTTGCATCTGCCTCAAAAGGATGGGGCACCTTAGCCATCTCTAGAGTATTGGAAACCTCTATCTCTACCATATGTGACACATATACCTCTGTCTCTGCCAGATGAGGCACATCATCTAGCTCATCCTCAACATCTCTCATCCATCCAGATACGGATTGAGATCATCTATGTCAAATAGTGTGGGATGCACGAAACTGAGCCTAGCTGGCTAACCGCCTCCCGTGGGAACCAGTCCTCCATATAATGTTCCCTCTCTCGAGCCCTCCAAGCAGATATACTGCGTAATCGACCAACAATCGTACCATATGTGCCTCTGGTCTTCATTGTTAAAATAAAACAAATATTTTTAGCCTATCGAATTTTTCAAAATATCTGGAAAATTGAATTTTCCGGATTTTTCAAAATATGCGGAAATAAGGCCTAAAATGTTCGGGATTTTTCAAAATATGCGGAAATAAGGCCTAAAATATTCTGGATTTTTCAAAATATGCGGTAATGATGCTAAATTTTTCTATATTTTTTTAAAATCTGATAAAAATGTTGTACATCCTGGAAATATTAGTCCCGACCGGGTCATGAAGTCAGCGGAAGAAAGACAAAAATCAGGGATCACCCCTTAAAAATGATAGGTACCCGGGAAGAGGTGTAGCTCAGCTAGGGATGATAACTGACCACCAGCCTCTTTGGGTAGCTACCCATATGCCTCACCCACCCGGATGATGTTTTTCACCGGAATTCACCTACATGTAGCCAATCATCAACCCGACTCATTAATGATTGTAATCGTCCCCAACGCATTTACTCTAATGTACCTTCATTCAAGGTGACAAAGACTGTTACATTGTTGCAAAGCTCAAAGTCTATTCCATGATTTAGGCTCTTAAATGGCGCTATTAGAGGACTATATAAGGGGATCTCACAAGAGAGATAAACAAGACATACATTCTTTGGACAATAAGCATCACCGATGTAGCTCCCAAATCCCCTATCACTTTACGAAACCTACTTTAGTGGCTTTCCCTATTCTCATAGGGAAGCTAACTGAATATTATTCCTATGCAAGAACGTTGGTGCCCACCATGGGGCCTCGGTAAAATTATCCTAGGCTACACCTCAAAATATATTCACCAGAATGTCGTCCGAAGGAGATCCCCAGATATGGCACAATTGTTAGCCATGGTGGAGGCTCTAAAACAATAGAACGAATCTCTACAAGACAGTGTAGATGACTTACAACTCAAAAGCCTGGGAGACAAACATCTAGAAGTGGTGCTTGTAGAACCTCAGCCACTTTCTCAAGCCATATGTGATGATCAGGTCCCATAAAACTTCAAGTCGCCATTGTTGACAACTTACGATGTTAAAACTGATCCTCATGAGCATGTTATTACTGTCAACAATCAAATGGGTACAATAGGCCCCCTTCAACTCATTATAATGTAAGTTGATGGTTGGTACCTTCAAGGACATATCTCTACAATGATATATGAACCTACCTCGACTATCCGTGGAAAGTTACTCGGATTTGACGAAGAGACTAGTGTAGCGATAGAAATGTTTAAGACTAAGCCCTTGGATTGACTAGACTTATACATATCAAAATAAAAATCGCCATTACGCTTTATTGTTTCCAAAGGAATGGAAAAAGAGCGAGTAACCCAAAAAGATGGGGAAAGATTCAAGGTAAGGGGGTTGGTTATGTAAAGGGAAGGTATTAGCACCCTAAACATCTACGGTACTCCGAAGGAACCTCTTTGAAAAATCTGTATATTTTGGCTATAAAATGTTGTGTGTAAAATAGATGATGGAGGTGAGAGAAGAAATATATATTTTTTATGATTTTTGCACCCACCACGGTTGCGAACCTTTAGTGCCTACGTACCACCTTTCATGCAATAGGGGATCAGGGTACACGTAGTTCCTCTTTTAAGAATTTTAAAACACAAGTTTGTTGGTTAATTTTATGAGATAAGAAATCATCGTCGTTGTCCATGTGGAAAACATACTTACTACCCACAATCATGAGAAAGGAGAATTTGCATCATCTCAAAGTGGAGGATATGGCTTGGATTTTAAAATCAACAATGCCTCACTCAACACCCAAGTGGAAAATATCTCTCTTCACTACATATTGTAGAACTATAGTTGTTTTCATCACTACAAGGATTGACAAGAGTCCAATATTTTTTAGAAAAGTTTAAGATAAAAGCTAAGATGGCAAAAGGGTTTGAAATGAGATTGATTAACTTTTAGTCTTCTCACGAAAAAAATGTCAAGGTATTATTAAATTGATTGAAGTTTATTTATGAAAAGGGTTTTTGTAAATGCATGGACCTAAGTCCAAGTTTATTATGAAAGTGGTTCAAGTTTAAAAACAATAAGATTTTTCAAAAGGAGGAAGAAGATTTTTGAAATTAAAGAAGGTCGGAGGAGAAGAAGAGACTATCCTAAAGCATAAGGTAAAATCTAGGGATAGGAACCACCTAACCAACAAGAATCCAAAACTTGACATTATGAGTCAAGATAGAATTCCCATTCTTTGGATTGAAACCAAGCAAGCAAAGATACTAGACCTCTTGAGAGAACTAAACTTCAAGTGTATTAAGTCTTCACAAAAATTGTGCAGAGTAACGATTATATACGGGTGAATTCCAGATTATAAACAAAGAATGTAATCACAATAACCTACACACAAAACAAATAAACAACCCAATGTCTTGAGGTAAACCTCAAGAACTCCAGACAAAATATCAATTAAGATCACAAGGTCTCCAACATAGGCCAAGGTTTCTAATCCTAAGTCCAAGAAGTCCAAAACTCCATAACTCCGAGGATAGTAACCAAATAGTCCAAGTATCATTAAATTTTTATGGTTTATGTTGATTATTAGGTGTCTTAAAAAAGAAAAGAAAAGCTCAAGTGAGCAAGATAAAAAAAATGACAAGAATATAAAGGGGCTCAAGTGAGAAAAGATGAAAAATAGGATGAAATGTAATGCTTAAAGTAAAGGGTACATAAAGCATAAAAATAAAATAAAAGCATAAAGTAAAGTCAATTGTTAATAATTAGTGGTTAGTTGGATGACCTTCTTGAAACTTTCATTTGGAACTCATTAGAGGATTGGTAGAACCAAAGCCTCCACACAATAAGTTGCATTTGCTTTTTGTCAAGTATATCATCCATTTTGGAATTCTCAAAAGTACCATTTATTGATCAACGATGTTTAAGTGATCCATGTTGACCAAAAGTGATGTAGATCCATTAGAGGATTGGTAGAATCAAAGCCTCCACACAATGATGAAACCATGCGGCCGGAACCTATCATCTGGATGTAATGAAACATCAATGAAGTCGCCACCGAACGTCTTTTATCCAGCCGAAAGGGAAAGGTAGACATCGAGAAAACCTGAAAAGGGAGAAGTCACGGTCTTTCGACCGAGATATCGGGTAAGGGAGTCTGTTACGCGAGGGGAAGGTATTAGCACCCCACGCTCCCGTAGTACTCTACGGTATCCACTCTTGTTGTCTAATCTAATGGGTGTGGTCAAATCCTATGTCTATGGCTTAAAACTGAAAAGGGAATGCATGCGAAAGAAAAAGAAACAATGCAGGGAAAATAAAAGTTGTGCTCGATCGGGCCCTACCACAATGCCTACGTATCCCTTTTAAGGAATCAAAGCAGTCGTAGTTCGGCTTGCATATTTTGGTTGGTTTGTGTTTTTTAGTTAAGACAACCAAAACACTCAAGATGGAAAAACATCAAATAAAACAACAAATAAATGAGATGGTAAAACATCGGCTAAATGATAACAAAGTAACATGTCACAGATGGCGAAACATCAAATGATAAAACAACACACCTAACAATGACATTGAGAGTCAAAGTAGGATAACAAACATGTGCGATGGCGAAACATCGACTATAAGATAACAAGGTATCATGGCAAAGACGGGGAAACACTAATAAAACGGATGACAAAACATCACACCTAACAATGATATTGAGAATCAAAGTAGGATAAAAAACATGTGCGATGGCGAAACATCGGCTTCAAACAAGTGTGCGATGGAAAAACATAGGCTATAAGATAACAAGGTATCATGGCAAAGACGGCGAAACATCAATAAAACGGATGACAAAACATCACACCTAACAATGATATTGAGAATCAAAGTAGGATAACAAACATGTGCGTTGGCGAAACATCGGCTTCGAACAAGTGTGCGATGGCGAAACATCAGCTATAAGATAACAAGGTATCATGGAAAAGACGGCGAAATATCAATAAAACGGATGAAAAAACATCACACCTAACAATGATATTGAGAATCAAAGTAGGATAACAAACATGTGCGATGGCGAAACATTGATAAACCAGGTTTAAAAACAAAGCCAAGAGGCGCACAAACAAATAAGATTGATTTGTATCTTTTACCTTGAAGAAGGGTTTGAGTTTATTAGAGGTATTTTATGATTTGCCAAGAAAACAATTTTTGTTTTAAGATGCAAAATGCAAAGGAAGAAAAACAACTAAGGGAAACTAGCCTAGCACTATCCCTAGTGTTATCATACAATGGTCGACCCTAAGGTTGAGGATAAAGGGAAATTCCTATCCTATGTAAGCATACATGGATTCCTATCTTAATTAACATGTCAAAGGAAGATTAACAAAACTATCCTATAGGGGACAGGCAATGAGAGCGAAGTCGTGATCTCAATTTCTAAATTGAGTTACTCATCGATCAATAATTAAATAAATAAAGCAATAAACATCCTATAGGGAACATGCACTGAGAGCGAAGTCGTGATCTCAATTTCTAAATTGAGTGACTCATCGATCAACAATTAAAGAAAGAAAGCAATAAACATCCTATAGGGAACATGCACTGAGAGCAAAGTCGTGATCTCAATTTCTAAATTGAGTGACTCATTGATCAACAATTAAACATAACACATGTGTCAGACAAAAACCAGAGGGCCCCTTGACATATATCAGCAACAGAGGTCCCATCATGCAATCATAGAACTATGCAAAATGAACATGGAAGAAAGGAAAGAGTGCAATACCAAACAAATAACTATTCGTAGCAACTGAGCAAGAATAAATGAAACCCAGAGAACTTCAAGCAAGCTGGCATC